TCCAGATAACAATAACAGCCCAAGCTGGCTACAGCCTAGCTTAAATTTGGTATAGGGACACGCCAACTTTTGGCAGGGTCACTACAGTTAAAAGGGATTTTATGTCTTTTTTCCAAAAACTCCCTGCTAGCAGTTTGTGCACCACCTGAGATACATGCACAGTACAGTGTACACTCTGGGCTGTTCTCGTTATGTGTAAGAAGGTAATAGCCCAGTGCCTGGACAATGTATCTCCAGCATTCATACAATGGACATACATCATTAGCAGCTAAATGGTTAGCACTTCTGCCTGGCAGTACTAGGGTTGTTGGTTTGAATCCCAACCATGACACCACCTGCCTGGAGTTTGCATTTTCTCCCTGTGCTTGTGTGGGTTTTCTCTGGGTACTTCAATTTCCAATATTCTCCAAAGACATGCTGGTAGGTTAATTGGCCCTAGCATGTATATGTGAGTTAGGGACCTTAGATGGTATGCTCCTTGAGGGTAAGGGACTGATGTGAATGTACAATATATATTTAAAGTGTTGTAAATTGATGTCGATATATAAGTAGCTGTAATAAATAAATCAGTGGTAATGTAGCCAAAGAAAAAAAGACCCCCCCCCCCCCCCAAAGTTCAGCTAAACTGGACAGATTGACATGGAGAATTGCTTCTGCAAAGTTATTACATGAGATTATATTGTGACATGCTCCATATCCCATGCTTCAGCTTAATACTCGTTATCTTTTACAGCTGAACCAGTTTCTCTATGACTCAGTGCTAATGTTATCTTGCAGGAACTTGCTCTCCCCAGCATTCCTGTATGAGTGAAAGTGAAAGTTGCACCCTGGCTGATAAACACACAACTATGTCTGACATTGCCAGTCACCATGACGTCTTATATAAATGTCTAGCCCTGACATTTGTCTCACATTGATAGTGTACACATGCATTTGACCCATGTTCATTTATTCATGTAGAAAATCTATTCTCAACTAGGGATCTATGGAACAATAGGGTTCCTCCAGAGGTTTCTAGGGGTTTCTTCATGTGTAGCTGGTTGACCTCCCATTTGATGGTGTCTACATAGTTCTGGAGTTAATGCCACTTGGCAGAGCCAGCGGCCTGGCACCAATTTTCCTTTAAGCTGTTGGTACGGTTGCCATTCTGACCACCACTGTAAGAGAGACATTCTCCCACTGACCACCCCAATAAATTGGTTTTATCTGTGGTTCCGCAAGACCAGAAAATTATTTCAAGGGTTCCTCTCCTGGGTAAAAAGGTTGAGAAATGTCAATTTAGAGTACAGTATGTAGTGTGAGCTCACTTTTTCAGAGTTCCAGGATAATTGACGGATACCAAATCAGATGAGGTCTCTCCTCCCTATTCAGCAATCAAACCTTAGACTGGCTGCCATCAGTAACCCCACTTCATTCAGATATCAGATCATACTCCAAGGCCTTGTCTCCTTCAAAACGTGTAAAAGGGGCAGGGAGATTAGAAGCACCGAGAAGGGCAGACTTTTTCTTTCCTTCACAACCATGTTTTCTGGGTCTACAAGAAGCTCTTTCAGTAGTCCACTGGATGAGCCTACAAGAGGTTAACTTAATAGTCTGTTGGATGAACCTCTTGTAGCTAGCTGTGTTGCATTTTGAATAGCACCCCAAATGCTCTAATCCAACTTATCTGCTTTGCAGTGCACCAAAATGCATGGTAAGACCTGGCTGTGACCTGGGAAAAATAGCACAGGTCCAATTTTTTCTACATTGTAGTGATTTAAATTAATTGGTCTTAATGCAATGCAAGTTAAGGAGCAATATAACGAACATTTCCCATGAAAGTCCCCCCAGCCGTCATTTGACAATAGGCTAGGCGGTAATTTTGTCACTCTGGGTGGACATCATATGACGTCCACCTAGAACAAGGATGTGCTAATCACAACAATACACACAGTAACAGTAAAAATGGTTGCTTATACCAGTGAAATTCGATGGCATAAGCAATTACAATGTGTAAAAAAAAATCCTGATCACTTCCCCAGAGTAGTACAATGTTACTATGGTAACATTATATTGCTCAGGTCACAATGTGTTAAAAAAAAAGTCATAAAAAAGAAACATTTTTTTAAATTATATATTTTTTTTAACCTACAGTTGCAAGAAAAAGTATGGGAACCCCTTGGGATTACGTGGAGTTTTGCATGAATTGGGCATAAAATGTGCTCTGAACATCATCTAAGTCACAACAATAGAAGAACACAGTCTGCTGAACATAATACTACACAAACATTAGATGTTGCCATGGTTTAATTGCACATAACATGTAAACATTCACAGTGCAGGGAGGAAAAAGTATGTGAACCTTTGGACTTAATAACTGGTTGACCCTCCTTTGGCAGCAATAACCTCAACCAAACGTTTCCTGTAGTTGCAGATCAGACCTGCACAACGATCTGGAGTAATTTTGGACCACTCCTCTTCACAAAACTGTTTCAGTGTAGCAATATTCTTGGGATGTCTGGTGTGAATCGCTCTCTTAAGGTCATGCCAGAGCATTTCAATCAGGTTGAGATCAGGACTCTGACTGGGCCACTCCAGAAGGCGTATTCTGTGCTGTTGCAGCCATTGTTTTGTTGAATTACTTGTATGCTTTGGGTCATTGTCCTGTTGCATCACCCATCCTCTGCGGAGCTTCAGTTGAAGAACAGATGGTCGTAAGTTTTCCTGCAAAATGTCTTGATAAACTGGAATTCATTTTCCCATCAATGACAACAATCCGTCCAGGCCCTGAGGCCTTTTTCCTCCCTGCACTGTGAATGTTTGCATGTTATGTGCAATTAAACCATGGCAACATCTAATGTTTGTGTAGTATTATGTTCAGCAGACTGTGTTTCTTCTTTTGTTGTGATTAGATGACGTTCAGAGCACATTTTATGCCCAATTCATGCAAAACTCCATGTAATCCCAAGGGGTTCACATACTTTTTCTTGCAACTGTACTGCCACTGCCACACCAGTTATATGATGATGCTGTACTGCACTGGTGACAGTATATACTGTATATTAAAAAAACAATTCCCAAACAAATTTCCAAAAATAACGTGACAAAAGATTACAACTTCAAAAAACTCTCCATGCCGCTTACTAAATACCTTGGACTATTTACTTTCCAAACAAAGGGTCAGTTGGGGGATATCTGTACTGTCCTGACTGGGCCTCAAGAAATGAGATAGGCCATCAGTACATCAGGATTGATTGATTTTCAGATATAAACCATAGTTTGTGAACTGTATACTCTATACAAACAACCCCCCCCCCCCAAATAAAAACAAAACAAAAAGAAGCGGGCAGACTTGATGGACCACTCTCTTTTTTTTGCTGTCACTTTTGTATGTTTCTATACCTTTCCTACAGACTAATAAACTAAACACTGATTTGGGTTATTTTCACCAAAGAAATGTAGAAGAATACATTTTGTCCTAAATTTATGAAGAAAGATTATTTATTTGCAAACAGAAATAAAGAAAAACACTTTTTTTTTTTTCAAAATTTTCAGTCTTTCCTTATTTATTTAGCAAAAAATATAAATCCAGTGGTGATTAAATACCACCAGAAAAACCCCGCTATTTGTGTAAAACAAAGGTAAAAATGTCATATGGGTACAGTGTTGCATGACTGCGCAATTGTCATTCAAAGTGCGACAGAGCTAAAATCTGAAAATTGGTCTGGGCAGGAAGGGGGTGAAAGTGCCCGATATTAAAGCGGTTGACGTGCAAAAATTGATGCCCCTCAACACAGTGGATATATCTGAATGAGTCCTAAATCACAAGTGATATTTAAGTATGCTGTATTTAGAAAATATGACTACTTAGAAGGTAGGTTCTACCTATATAGATTTGTTTTTTAATTGTAAATTTAAAAAAATAATAATTTAGCTATTACCATGTTGATATTTTATTCTGATTTAAAATTAGACTTTGGAATCTTGGGAGTAACCTGACAGCCACCTGACAGTTCCAGAATCTATTTTGCTTGGTTTCCTGGTTTATTCAGGCGAGTTCAGTGGGGATTTCTGCCTGCCATCAATGCTGCCTTTGTCCAGCGTACTTAGAGCTCCGTTTCCCCTGCGGTGACTGAGGCCCGGCTCTGGCACAGCTATGAACACCTGCGTGTCCGAGCCCTTAGCTATATATATTAAATTTCTTTTTTTTTTTTTTTCATAAGCGTAGTACCGTACTCCTTTTCTGCAGATTTCTCTCCTACCTCCGAGCGCTGATTGGAGCCTCTCCAGGGAATTGAAGCATATAATTCCTGCAGTGAACTCGGAGCAAGGGGATACAGTTACAATCCTCTGGATATGTGAGGCTTATTTCATAGAAAAAATAATGTGCAAAGTGCAGCAACCTGGAGGAGAACTCTAATAATTGGGATAATGCCACTGTCCCTAGGACCAGAGCCTGGACCTGTGAAAGGCTGCGGTGGCTGTGCCCTATGGTTGAACGTATTGCAGGATGTCCTTTGTTATATTATCCGAACATATTTTATCTCTGGAATACAAGCATGAAGGCAACCACTTGCCCTCCTGAGGATTTACCCTCCTTCCTGACCAGGCCATTTTTTGCGATACGGCGCTGTGTTACCTTAACTGACAATTGCGCGGTCATGTAACGCTGCACCCAAATGAAATTTATGTCCTTTTTCCCCACAAATAGAGCTTTCCTTTGGCGGAATTTGATCACCTCTGCGGTTTTTATGTTTTGCGTTATAAACATTATTTGAGAAAAAAAAAATATTTTTTACTTTTTGCTATTAAACATGTCCAGTAAAAAAATTTAAAAAAAATCAAATTTCGTCATAAAATTTAGGCCAAAATGTATTCTGTGACATGTCTTTGCTAAAAAAAAAAAATTCCAATATGTGTACATTAATTGGTTTACATGAAAGTTATAGCGTATGCAAATGGCAGTATAGATACTGGAATTTTTATTTTTTGATACTAGTAATGGTGGTGATCAGCGACTTATTGCGGGACTGCGGCGTGCATTCTGACACTGGGGGGGAACTAATAGTCACTGACATCCCCAGTGACACCAATACAGTGATCAGTGCTAATAAAAAGCACTGACACTGTACAAATGGCACTGGGCAGGAAGGGGTTAACATGTGGGGCGATCAAAGGGTTAACTGTGTGCTGTGTGTGTTTTACTGTGTGTGTGTTTGACAGTGTAAGCACGCTGCTTTGTATGGCTCTGCTATACAAAGCAGCGTGCTATATATGTATGCAGAGCCATATAAAACAGTGTGCTGGAGCTGACAGGGGATAGATCTGTATTGTTTACATACAGGTCTCTCCCCCATCAGTGATACTTGGTGATCACTGGGTGCCGGCAGGGAATCTCTGGCAGGGACCCAGTGATCGACAGCTGAAACTGCCAATGGTGGTGAGGGTAGCGCACAGGTGTGCCCCCTACCCGGAAATGCAAAATCACGCATATAGATGTGATTTTGCGCAGCCCTGTCGCTCTGTAGCAGTTTTTCTGCTATAGGGCGGTGGGCAATAGGTTAATGTTAATTATATTTGAAGCTTAAGGGACCATTCACGCCTGTTTATGCATTGCAAGAACATATGCAATATCACACACTTTCCCACAATACACAAAAACGTGCTGCACTTTTGCAGATGCACATCGGTGCCATTAGCGGTTCAAATGTGCGCAATTTCTCCAAAGGGAAGGGACTTCTTTTGAGCATTCCAGGCACATAGGGCAACCTATTGAAATGAATGGGCTGCCCTATACGCAATGCATTACAACTTAGCGGCTGGTGTGTGGTGCAGTGATGTGTACCGACTGCGGCGCATTGCACTGTCCTTTTTTTTTTAAATAAACTTTATTGAAATGTCACACAGTGCCATTTCATTAAGTTCTATTGACCACTTCGTGGTATGAGGCAGTGGACTGCCTTACACTGTGCTGTCCTGGAAAAAAGTATGTCCTGCCTTAATTTTTTTCAGTGTGCACCACATAACATGGTGGTGTGAATCGGCCACATAGGAGACAAGGAATTTTGCTTTGTCTTGCACTGGGACTGCTCTGGAATAGCTGCCCAACACAGTCCCACTGCATCTGATGTGAACAAGCCCTTATATGTGTAGCTCTACCCCGCAGGGCCTGCTTGATAATGCTTGTCCCCAGTGGTTCCCCAGACCTTGCAAGCCTCCCAACACTCTGGGTTCAGACATATTTCAGCAGTATGAAATAATGATGCAAGAGACAAGATTCTTTAGTAACACTTCTATATTAGGCTCATTCAGAAGAGTAGACCACAGAATGAAGGTTTAGGTGGTACATTCCCAGTTTACTCATAAAAGAAAAACACTGATAAAATGGAAATAACCAAATAGCAACTGTTAACCGATTGTATGGTCACAAATGGCATTTTGTAGCTGTAACACCAACAGAAGAAAAGGCTTGTTGACTTATCAGCTACCTTTGGGCCACCGGCGTCAATGCAAGGGAATGTAAAGAATTATGTATGTATGTATGTATATATATATATATATATATACACACACATACATACTGTATAAATATATACTCTGGCATAAATGTGTATAGACACCTTAATTTTAATAACAATGGCTTAGAAGTGAAGAGGTCCCTTTAACTGAAAACAGCAACTTGTCCTGATAGTAGCCGTTGTATCCTGCTAGCAGTGGTGGGGCCCATACACAGTAATGCATAATGGTAATTCAATGAAGAGAACATATAGGCTGTTGGTAAATGCTCAAAGCAAAGGTCTCTTGGTACTGAGGTATAAAGGTGTCTGCATGCAGTGTCTTTAGTGTGATGTCAGAGAGAGGTTGGGCATCCCCCCGCTAACCAATCCCATGGATAGCACAGCCTCCTAAAACAGGGTTCTTGCACAGGCTGTTCGCAGAGAAGTGCAGAGTTACCGCCTGACAGCCTGTCAGTGCGGCAAGCAGGTATGACTAGCTGCAGACTGGAGAATGACAGTCGTCGTGATGCAGAGAAGCTGATGCAATTCCGGTGTGGTGATCAGCATCGGGGCTGTGTCAAACTGGTACCCTGAGTCCCTCAATAGTAGCCAGCAGTGTGTCTCTGGAGGAGAATGGCAGTCCCCCTGTGTTCAGTTCTTCATCCCGCACCCATGGAGCTAGCCAGTCCCTTGCTGTAGAATATATTGACTTTCCTAGCGTTCCTCTGTATTCAGCTCTCTCCGGTAGTTGTAGGCCAATCGGCACTCAGGAACACAGCATGTACTGGCTATAGAACTACAGATCCCAGGATCCTCAGCTGTGTAGGGGGAAATTAATTGTAGTCCCATTTGTAAGTGTCGTTAGATGGCATAATGATATAGCCGGCACCTGGCTACATCTGCAGTGTTCAGTTTTGTAAAAGAATGCTTACTTTTCAAGCTTCATATTCCAATGCCCTCCCCTCTCCTTCCTGCAGTTGGTAGAATATACTGAGTATTGGATGTGCGGCTCCAGTGGTTCATGAACGAGTGCTCAGCTTAGTTTCCTGCCCACGCATGCGCAGTTCACTCTCTTATAGCTCAGCATTCTACAAGAGTGAAAGAGAACAGACTGCACATGCATAGGTAGGGAAGGAGGCTGAGTGCTCGTCATGTGTTTGTGGGCTTAGGTCCTGCCATCTGCAGAATTGAGGTGGGGGTGGGGGTTTGTTCATGAAATAAACAGCTTGAAATGTCAGAATAGTTTAAAAAAAACGACTGCTCATTGAGGTACAGAGAATGCTGTATTGCATAGGGTAGTTTACGTCAATAAAGGTGAACTAAACATTTAATTGGCCTGTCCAAACCCTCTAACTGACACTTTTGCTGGACAGCTTGAACTGTAAAAGAAGTTGAAAAATAAAAGACTTACTGGCTAGATCACCAGATGAAAATAAAATTAAAAAGAAAAAAAAAACCTTAAAAAAGGAAACTAATGCAGCCATCACATCCCAGCGATGGATACGCGGCAAAAGATTATTTTTTGTTTTTGAGTTTAGATAGCTTTGGGGGTCTATTTTAAAACATTTGTTGGAGGAATTGTCACAAGCATTCATTCATGGTGCATGAATTTTCCTCATATTTCCTCTAATATTATGACTTCCTTCAATCATCAGCTGCACTATTTGCCAACATGTGATACATTTTTCTGAACTACCTCAGTCAGGAAAATGTTCAACATTTTGGCCACTAGATGGAGCTGACAATCATAGGTAGTTATAATATTAGAGGAAATATGGGGAACATTCGTCTAGTTTTACAAATACTTGTGACATTCCTTGGACAAATGTTTTATAAATAGGACCCCAAAACTATCTAAACCTGAAAACAAAAATGCAATATATAAATTTGTGTAGTTTTAATAAAATGCTTTTGACATTCCTCCAAGGAATGTCCTCTTTTAATAGTGATTATCGCATTAAAGGAAGGATTTTATGAGATAGCTGGCTGATGTTTAAAACTTACAACTTTTTTAAAGGACAGGTATAAAATTTACAGACTGTCAGTGGAAATTAGAGACACGTGGCGAATACACATATACAGTCTATACTATATTTGTTTCCAGCTTCTTTTTGCTGGCTGTGCTTCCCCATGTGTTTCCAATCAGTCATAAAAGGGTAAGATCACAGGTGCTGTATGAACCCTGATCTGACTCATATGTTCACTCAGCACAATTCAGGGAGCGGGCCCATGTCACAAACAGAGGATCAGTCTCTAAATTAGAGGCTGCCGAGGGTAACACTTGCCAAGCTCATTGCTGCTGAACTCGGCCCGTTTGTAATACACGGAAATCTCTCGAATTATTCCTAATGAAAGCAAATCCTGAGCCAGCTGCATTAACCAGAGCTGAGTTCTTATTGATGGCAAGGCCGAATACCCGCTGAAAGGTGACACCCTCTGGGATTCTGTGTGAAGGGAAAAAAAAGACGGTATATACTCACCCTGTTCAAATTTGTCATGCTCCACAAGCTTCCTGCTACATGTTATTAGCTGGGGTCAGACTAAGTTTTTTGTTTTTTTTGTAAATGGAGAATTTACTATAAGAAATGGTTGAAAAAAAATCACAATATTTTTTATATATTAATAAAAAATAATAATAAAAAAAAAAAAAAAATAATATATATATATATATATATATATATATATAAATATTTAAATAGATTTATTTGTATTTTAAATATTTGAAAAAAAGCACACATTCACCATTTTAATAAACATTCACCAGATTCCGGATTGTTTTCATGTTAAATGCTTCTGTTGGAATACAATGTTCATGTATTTTTGGACGACAACTACATCAGTGTCAGTGTTCAATAGAGATATGTTCTTGAACCAGTAGATGGCAGTGTTTATAAGTCTGTAGAACCATCTATGGTTACACTCTATGTCTTTTCTCTATAGTAAAGTTCCTGTTTCTTGTTAGCAGAGAAGAAGCCGATAAACACATGTGGAATGTGCACTCTTTGTTCTGAAGGGCTATACACAGAATCTCTAACCCATGGTTCACATATATGCGGCCATGCGGGCCGTGTTTTGCGCAGGCACGAGAGCCCATTCATTTGAATGGACTCCCGTGCCTCGTGACACGCAGAGAAGTCCCTGCACTTCTTCTGAAAACGCAGCCCGCATGGGAACCTCGGTTCCGAGTATGGTTGTGTTTTCCAGTACGGGCAACGTGCCACTAGAACTAATGGTACCTGCGCGCTGGTCCACATTTCTCTGCGCGGATGGTGCGGCTGCACGAATTTGCGTGCGGATCCGCAGCAGCACCACCCCCACATATGTGAACCAAGCCTAACAGCGTCCATATTTAAAAGTAGCAAATATTACATTCACACAAAGCTTTTGCAGAGACTGAATCAGTGTTTTTTTTTTTTTTTGCTTTAGTTGTCTGTAAAAAAATGTGTGATAGTGAAAGTGACTGCTAAGAAGACCTTTCTGTCCTGGTCACCACCATTGTCACTGGGGCAGAAAGCTTAGTTAAAGTTGATTGCTGGTCACAAATACTTTAATTTAAATATACTCCTCAATAGCCAGATAGGATTTAAATCCAATCTGTGTGTATCAAATGTCTTTGCAAACCTAGATAATACCTTGTAAAAGTAGCAGTGACAAAATCCCTTTGCTGCACATAGCCTATACAGAGAGCTGAGCTGTAGGAGGGGCTCAGCAGCTGCTCCCACTACAGGCTGTCTGCAGAAACCCATAGGAGGGGGAGGAGACAAGACCAGTCACCCTGCACAAGGAGGAGAGAGAGCAGCAGTGACCGGTCCTTATTACAGGAAGCTCCTGCACAAAGGAAGAATTTTACACTGGATTACTGCACAGATCTGGAAGAAATACACAA